GCTGCACCATGTAACACTGGCTGTGGAGATGGAGCACCTCCTGGGCACAGCCATGAGCAAACCACTGTTTGTGGGTTGTGCTTGTGGCCAGCGGGGAACCAAATCGCTTCTGGGTTTGTTTCATCTGCATTCATTTTTGTTCGTTCAGAGCTGCTAAGTTCACTGCTTTTGAAACTCAGAGCGGACAAAAGGGCACGAACAACTGGATTTATCCAGCTTTCTAAATATTGATTCACTTCTGGTTTCTGTAAGAAAATGACATGGAGTCCTACTAATATCTAAGGTTATCTGTGACCTTGTGACCTGTGCATCGTAACCTCACTGCAACTCTGGTTCGAACACTGGAAAGTGAAAGGTCAGAGAAATGAGATAGCTTATGTATGGCAACAGGATTAGCAGTTTGGGCTGCTCTGAAGATATTAATTTGAACCATGTTATGGCCATTATCACTCAGGTGCATTTAAAAGAAAAAAAAGAATTCTTGAACTCTTGAAAAGACTCAGAATTTTTTGTATGTTAAATATGATTCCAGAGTAAATAAAGGCACCACAATGAGCTGATTAGTTGGGGAGTTAAAAATATAAAATTATAAAGGATGTACTTTCATTTCCCAATGAATTATTCCTCGTGAGTCAAAAGCTCTATTGCAATGTGATTCTCGGACCTGTGGTAAAACCAGCGTGTGAGAGAGTAATTAAAGACTTTCAGGATAATGCATTATTCATAAGTTAGTTAAATTTAGGTTGGAAGAACAAACTGAATTCTTGCATTTACAACTGCTGAGTGTTTGTCTTGAAGACTATTTTAATGTAGTTTTTAAAGATATACTTTAGTTTGCGTCTTGAAGTATAGCTTTCTTTTCTTTGCTTCTTTCTTAGGCTTCCTGATGTTTGTGTGCCCCATATACGTATCTTTGGTCTAGACAAATTGTAGTAAATACAGTATGACTTTTTAGAATGCTTTGGTGTGATTCCCCTTTCTCCATCACCTATGTTTTTTGCAGCAACTTTTTACTCTGTAAATATCAGTTTCCTTAGGGGCAGGTCTGCACTGCTATAAAACCAATTTAATTTTATTTAATCCATTCTGAATAAACTGAAGTCAGTGGGAGTTCAGTACTTTTAAATCTGAAAGCCCATACCTAAGTATAGACTTAACTTTGGCCATCCATGCCATTTTTATTAGTTTTTTTCATTTCCTTTTTTTTTTAGATCTTTCATTGCATATTTCCCTTGATTCTGGCAATGCATTGATCTCAGGAAAAGCTTCTTTTTGAACCATAGGTGGCAGCAGACAGCAGAAACTTCAGCTGTAAGGGCTCCTCTGCATCTTCCACTGAGCTGAGATGTCAGGACAGTTTGCTTGGTAGTAGGAAGGGTTCTCTATTGTTTTATCCCCACATTCAGGGGCTATTTAAACTATATGTTTTACGTATTTATATTGTACTTGATTGTACTGCAAATCGAAACATTTTTGCTTTTTTTTTTTTTTCTCTGAGTATTTACATGTGTAAAATATTATCCTGAAAAGGTTAAACTCACCTTATAAATCTGCTTCGATTTCCTGTACAATCCATTGACTGACAGCACTATAATCTATTTTCAATTATATAAATTTTTAGCAGTTTTTCTGATTGGGTCTTCGGGCTTTGGGGCTTCAGTGGCCTGAAAGGAGATTCAGGAGATGTTGGTGTCTTGCAAATTTGCACAAGTCACACAGTGGAAAAGAAGCAGTAACAGAGCTGCTGGCTCTTGCTTAAATCTCTGGTAATAAAACCATAGTCACAGTCACAGGGGTAAATTTTCCATCTCTTATTTTATATTATTGGGTACTCAAACCAGCTCTTGATTATAAGTTTATTTTTACAACACAAAGTCCAATGTATTTATTATTGTTTTTTCCCAAAGCCTTGAAATCGCTAAAGAAACACCAAAGCTTTTGTACCATGGTAAAGGTGGAGTGTATCCTTCCTCTGTGAGTGACAATAGACACATCTCCACCTACGTGGTAAAACTAGTATTAATGTCTCAATCTAATAAAGAGAATAAATTAGTGGAATAGCCTTTTGATAATGAGGCAGTACTTCTTAAAAACCAGTGGCACATAGTGACCAGGCCATCTAAAGCCAGCACCTTCACTCCACAGGGGCTGCTCCCACTCTGTGCACAGCCTGGAGGTGTGCAGAAACATCAACCTTGTAAGAAACTGCCATCACAGTGGCTCCTGGGCCATGTCCCTCTCCACTTGTGGGACAGGGGAAGTGAGTAGGAGGGAAGCAGGGGGCTCGTTGTTCCCCCATTGCCTGGATTAGGATACAGATAGCTCAGATGTGGCTTTCAACCAGAAAGATTTGGGCAGTGGCTGGTCAGTGTGTAGGGGTGGGCCAGGAATTGTGGGACCCAGGACCTGCACCAAGGTTGGCCCAAAGAGTTCCAGATTGCCTGGACGGATGGAATGAAATCCCTCAAAAAGGACAGTATTTCCTTTTTATCAGCACTATTCCCTATTACCAGCACCATTCCCTATTACCAGCACCTACCAGGTGCCTGGCAGTGTGATACTTGTTCTGTACGAAGACAGAGCATAAGACCAGAGACAAGAAACACTGCATGAGTCCAGGAGGAGAATTTTGCCTGGGGGGTTTACAGGACAAGCAGCAGTAAGTGAAGCTATCAAAGGCAGATTAAACAATCACCACTGGTGGATGAAAGATGAACTCCAAAGCAGAAGCTTTTAAATGAAAAAAAAAAAAAAAAGGAAAAATGAAAAAAGAAAGAAACAAGATTTTCTTCAAAAGAAAAATAGTAAACCATATATCCAGGAGTTCTGCTCCATTACTCACAAGAAAACAAATCAGTGGTTCGACAATGCAGCTGAATGAGATCAGGTCTGAGATTTGTAGTTTCCTTTAGAGCAGACAATGATTCTAAATATAAGCGTGAGAGGGCTGCGAAAGGATGGAGATCCACATCTTTTAGTGGAAGAATAAATATTATCCAAGGCTGATTTATCTACTGGTGGATTCTTGTCTCATGCTAAAAGCATGAACTGTTTGTCAGACTCTTTCTTCCTCTAAGAAGGGACTGCTTTTTAAGTATTGCTTTGGATTTTACCAGATGTCAATGTATCTCCATTGCACTGTAAATATTAAGGAAAAGAAGCAAGTAAAATGGTGACACTATTCCTTTTAGGCTTTGGAAAATTAATTGGATACTCATTCTCCTCTAATAAATACATTAACAGATCCCTCTGCTTAATTCTTCATTTTTCTCCTTTTCCTGTGCTTTCATCTTTGTCATTTCTCCATACTCTTTTTGTCAGACTGACTTCCTTCCTGTGCTGGCCTTGACCTCAGCTTCCTAATCCTTTTCCTTTGCATTCCTAGCTGTATTATCCTATAACAGCCATTTTCTCACTCTTCCCCATCTCTTTCTTACCCATCTCCATCTATCAAGATTCTCCAGTTTTCTTTTTCCTTGTTTCAGAGTTTTTTCCCCTCCTTTTCCTACTGGGCTGAAGCAGATGCCCAGGAGTTACTCGTCTGGGGTTCTATTAGGACTCCTAGAATTGACCTGGCAAAGCACTCACTTTCTGTTTAAGTAGAAAGAAGGTTTTCTGTGTGCCTGTTTTTCCTGTAGTAACCCTTTCCTTTCAACTTCTCCCTGTCTTTCTTCATGTCTGAATGCACACCCTGGGTCAGAGTCAGGTAACACCAGCATCATGGGCTGTGGCCTCTCCTCAGGCCATCCAGCTCACGAGAAAGTGGGCAGGTAGGAACAAACACCTCTTGGCATGACTGCAGCACACTCTGGTTGTAAATCAAGCTTGATCCTACCTAGAGAGTTAAGCTTTTCTTGTGATTGCTGTTTCAGTTTTGTCCTTCCCAAAGGAGAGGCCAGCACTGTGCCAATCCCAATCGAGGTTACCTGAGGCATGGGCAGAGCTGTGGTTTGAGGTGCAGGTCTGCAGAGAAGAAAGCTGTTACTATAGCTGGAGGGGTTTTTTGAGGAACTGTGTCTTGGGAACCTGTTGTACAGATGATTATGAATGTAGATGACTTGCTACTTAATAGGCCAGTACTGAATGCTAGGGTGCTTAGAAAAATGTGCATTTAAATTGCATCTCCAGCCTTTGAAGATTAAAAATTAAGGATCTACATGCTATGGAAAACACATCTATTTATTTATGAATTTTTATGTATTCCTGTTTTACAAAACAGGAAGAAATTTATCTGTGAAGGGTAAATAGAAAAGTTACTATTGCCATAGACTTTTTTTTTTTAGCATCTTTCAAGGCAAGCAACATTTTAATATAAATCAAATCCAGAAAAATCATTTTTACTAATTGTAACACTTCAATTCATGTAATACATACGTGTTCAACTACAGGACCAAAATGTACTTTTATGTAAGCAGTTCCTCATAGCTTCAGTGGTGGTTTAAAAAAGCTAGGCTGGTCTGAATGAACACAACAAAGCAGCCCAATTAAGCCAAAATTCCTGAGAAAATGAGGATAAATTGACTACAAAAAGATGTTAAAACTGATCCCCTTAGCGTTAAAAGGCATACAAATGGAGCAAGAGGCATTTCTGTCTAAGAGCTCATTGGAGATTTGTCACTGCCATGCAACATGATGGAATGGATTGATAGAAGAACATGTCATAAGGCAAGAGAAAAAAGCATCACACTTCAATTTTTATCTTTGCCTGTGGAATTCAAGAAACATTCTAATTCAAAGATTGATAGAGAGTTGTATGATTTGAACTTAAGATGATAAATATAGTCCCATGGTTTTAATCAAAGAAATTGAATAAAAATACTGAAGTATGGATTTGAAAGGCTAGAAATATTAATTTCTGGACAAACTTTAATTAGACTTGCTTCCTAGGCTTTGTCTAAATTTATTAATATTGCTTACAAGGGGAGATGGTGGCTTGTAAAATGTTGTCAGCCTGTCACAGAAAGCTATACTCAAAGTAAAGCAAATCACGGACTCTGCAATTTTTTAAAATGTTTTATTATAAAGGATAGGAAACCAAATTCACATTTTTTTCAAACCCAGATAAATAAACAGTAAATATCATGCTTTTGCTTTTAAATGTGTTTTGCCTTTTGCAATAGGATCTGCAAAAATGGCATTCCTAACTTGGAGACCTGCAAAAATATATCTTTTGAGGATATGGAGGAAGACGGACTACATATTTGGCACATAAATGAAGACCATTTCAAAAAACTGTTGGAAACTGAGACAAAACGGCTCTGTGAAGAAACTGCTAAGTAAGGAGTAGTTTGGTAACTTATTCAGCAGAAAACAGCAAATAAACCCTTAGGCAAGATTATTTCAAATATATATATAAATATATACAAATACACAAAAACAAAGATCTTCCCGCTTAAAACCAAACAAACATCAAATCGTAATAAAAACAGAGAACCCTGTGAGGCCTTGTGATCTTTAAGAAGGGATGTTTAAAAAAATCCAAGCAGTTTTTTTTTTTTCTATCCCACAGAAATAAACTGCTAAGGAAAAAAAAAAAAAAAGAGGAAAACAAGAAAAAAGCAAAGCAGTTGCTCTATTATCATCATTCTTTAAAAAAGAATCAGGTCTTTGTTGTGCCTAATCTCAAAATAGTTTCATGAAGGAAACAAAGCAACACACAAAATCAACAAACTCTCCACATTCAGATTTTGCACATCATGTTGGTCCCAATTTAATCGATGAGAATGTTACTTTTGATTTCAGTGGGAGCAGGGTTTTTCCTTTCATATATTGCAGAATTAGAATGACTGCAAGCTACTTTCCCAAATGGACTTTTTTCATATGACTAAATCAGGAGGGGCTGTAAATGGAAAGAGTTTATCTTGTCTAATAGTTGAATTGTGCATCTTGCCACACACTTCTGCAACATTTTAATATAACAAAATTACTTGTAAGCTGTCTTCTAAACTTCTTTTAATATTTATATCCTCTTGAGGCTTTACACCCTTTGTGAAGGGTCAGGGCTGCCTGTACAAATTAAATGACCGTTACAGGAAATATAAACATGCTATTTACAAGTTCACAATTCTTTATTTTCTATACAATTCTGATGAGTATTTTTTATAGTTGTAGCCTAAGAACTGTGTAAAACTGGCATGCTTCCGATATTCACAAAAATGTAATAATACAGTGAAGAAAGGAAAATTTAATAAAAAAGTAAAAGAATTAATGATAAATTGCGCACATGCAAGGATACTGTAAACTGAATCCATTGCCTTAAGCTATGCATTTATGTCATTTTTATATATCCTAACAGTTTGCCTTCCTGTGTACTTTTGATGGAAATATTCCATGCAAAATCCCATATTTTCTTTAGGATAATATTTCACATTCTTTAAACCTTCCATTAATTTTTCTGTATGACATTCAGACTGCCTTTAATGAAAGAAGGGAAAAACCTCAAAACACAGCTACTTTTGTTAGCACACTATAAATCTTAGCTCAGGGATTATGCCAATTATCTGATTTACCTCTACAGAGCAACTGAAGAATTTATGCTTATTAGCCTTATCTTTCTTCATACATTTGACTCAGATTATTTATGAGAAATATGTCCTTAAAGGATTTAATGAAAAGTAATATTTGCACAAATTATATGACTCTTGGATTAAAGTAAATCCATCCACCATTCAAATTCAGTTCATTTAAGAAAAACAATACTTGGAGTGGTCACCTTGAGTGCTTTAAGATGCATTTTAATAAAGGTGTCTCCGTAGTCCTTTTTCATGGACATAATGTTGGCATTTCACTGCTGAATAACATTCTACTCAATAGACTGTGGTCGATACTTTTCAGTTCTTCAAATTCTGATGCTGTTGCTGAATAATCTAGTATGTTTTTTGCGTTAAAAGAACAAAAATATCCTCTGACAAGCACCAGATTCGGGCAGAATAACCAGATCCAGTTGTTCTTCTCTGGAAAAGCACTGAAGCCACCTTCCTCTAAACCAAGCCTCACCCACTCATCAAAACGTGGGGTGACTGCTAAAAAGTTTTATTATGGAGTGACAATGAAGCAACTTTGCGTCATCCCTACGTGTTGCTTTCAAGAAGCCCTTCACCTTTTTTCCTTCAGACTGCAATGCTGCTGAGAGCAGTGTTGTCCTGGTTTGTTCTGGGATCCACTGCTGAATGCCTTTAGAAGTCCAAGGGCCGAATCATCATGGTGGTGGAGCGCAAGGAGTAGCTGGGGCCTTTGAAGTAATGCCACTTGATGCCGTTGAGCTTTCCGTGATTTTGTCCAGCTGTGTAGAACATCCCATTGAGATTGGAGGGGCCGCAGGCATCAAACCACCACCCTGAAACCATTAAGACAAACAATTAAACTGCAAGTGCACTAAGCGTTTTTATTTTGCTTTATAGGTTTAGATAATTAGCAAATTCTGGTATTCCCAGGCTCATAAAGACTCCTGGTGTGTGTGGGTATTTTCATATTTTCTTTTTTTGTTATTTTGTGGCATTCTGTAGACAGTGGTACTGGAGAGTGCACAGTTGCATTTACAGAGTTGGAAAAGTATTTAAGTCCTAACACATTCTGGTTTTATATGCAGTATGTGAAGTAAGTACAAGAACAACAAGGAAAAATAAAGTTCTTTGCATGTTTAGATAGTATTTCAGTTCACCCATCTCATGTAAGCCTCAGAAAAAGACTATAACTTATAAGTATTTTGCATAATTTCACTTGTTTGTTTATTTTGAGTATAAGCATGTTTTAATTTTATTTTCCAGTCCTTTTCTCTTGCTTTAACTGTGATTGTTCAATTGCTTACAGGGTTTGTTTTTGTTCTGAGGTCAGATGTTCATAGTAAACAGGGGTTATGAGCGTGGTAGTGCTGCCCTGTTACAGTGATTACAATATTATTGTAATAGATAATCAGTGTTCAGAATGGTGTGCAAGGAGACAAGCAGAATCATTCTTTACAGCTTATGATAGATTTATAAACAAGAGTCAGCAAACAAATGGAAGGACTAAGTGAAGAAGACAATTATAACCCTGTAAGATGCTGTTAGTCAGAATACCTGTATCATCATGTATAGATGATTTAGGTGATTACCAGAATGAGCATGCATTTAGATGACAGTATGGCAAACTTCAGTCAAGGCATATTTGTTGCATGTACAGTTTGAGCCAGAACAGTGACATTCAATCCTTATTCTTATTATTTGAATGTGAAAACCTGTGCTAAATCTTGAGTTTACTAATCTTGATCTTGAAATGTGCCAAACGCTTTTGGGTCAGCAGCAGTGTCACGGGGGTCCAAACTCAGACCCATTTGAGATTTTTTTGCTTCTCTCAAAGCATCTAAGCAAGTTCCCATCTGGCGCCTAGAAAACTGACAAATGTCCATTCAATCTCTTTTTTTTTTTTTTTTTAGGGTGTTTGTAGGCACTTTATTTACATGCGTACAGGTAGGAGAAAATTACTAGTTACCTGACTGTCACTGACTACAAAGATATTAAAAATGTTACTGACTGATATCAGTTAGGCTTAGAAAGTTGCTAACTGCCTTTTCTGTTCCCTTATCCTGACTGTTCTTTCCCAGCAAGAAGTGGCTTCCTACTCGTTGGTCCTTGGAACTCTGTCTGCAATTGCATATATTTCAATTTACTGGTAAGATAGGGAAAGAAATGTCTTGTCCAGATGCTTGTGCTTCTAGTTCACTGCTGTAAGACTGTTCTGAAAAGTGCGGTGACTCAGATTTGCTTTCAGAGGGCAAGCCAGAAACCTGGCTTACAGAATGGCCCTATGAACAGTAGTGTTGGCATAACTGAAGAAGTAATAAACTGAGAAGTTAGAACAAAAAAAGAAGTGTAACAGCTCAAGAACTTTTCAACCTGAGTTTTCTGCCAAAGAAAATGCATGTAGAGCCATACCTCCACCTTTGCGAATGCTCTGTTAAGATAGCACTGAAAATAAACAATAAATATTTATTAAGTACATTACTAATAATGACAGAGGTTTTGCTATCATTTGTATGACTGAATGCAGAAAATTCCAAATTGCTGGAAGAGTAGGTTTGGTTGTGAACTGTTTGCAAAAAAAGTCATTTCACCTTTAAACTTCTGCAGTGAAGATATGTATATTTGTCTTTAACCAATGGAGAAAATGGAGTCAGTGGTGAAAAACAGTGTGGATCTTCAGATATGTTTTAAATTGTTGCTTTAAGATTAAATTAATTGGTTAACTCTCTTGTCCACATCCCCAAGATGTTTTTTTGTTAAGGTGAATTTTGGATTGCCACGGGAGTTAGAGTCTTAAGGCAAACTCCAAATAGCATGAAACTTGGCAACACCAAGATTACAGAATACAAACTGACGAAGATAAACTAGGTGACATGCTGACTCCACTGAAAATAGTGGGGGTTTTGCTGTATATCTTGAAGGGAATAGAATTTTCTCTCAAACACCTTACAGGGTATCCATGTAATATAACAGAAAGACGTTTAGTTCAAACTGAGGAAGGCAGAATGAATCCCCAGACTGCAAAGAGCTAATATCCCCTATGTCAAAAATGTATTAACCTCAATGACTAGGAGCATTATCTGTCAGAAAGATTTCTGCTGAGTGTTTTTCATAGTAAGACCTTGTGAATCTTTAGCATATGTCTTCGGCATCTTTCCATGTAATATGGTTTTACTGAACATTTGCCTTCATGTTTGAAGGCAAATAAGATCATAAGTATCAGGTGGTGGCTTTTGCTTTTGGTGGTTAAATGTCACTTTATTTTTAAAAGTTTTTTCAGTCTGCACATCACAGCATTGTAATCTTCCCAAGATTCCCCCTGCAAACCTTTTTCAAGTACCGCTGGTAGTGGCAAACTGATCGTTTAATGAATGAGTACCGCACTCTGCAGGTGTCACTGAGGACTGAAAGGCAGAATTTTAAATTTTCAATGTGTTTCCCACTCTGACTTCTGGAAACGGAATTAAACTGTGAGAAGCTCCTTTTAGACAATGCACATGGCCCAAGTGAATCCTCCAGTTTCATCATATTCAATGGTTAGCTTTTTATCTACCTATAATAAATGCGCTGTATGAAGTTATTTTAAACTATGTCTTGCTACTACTGATATGATATTGACCGTGATTAGCATTCAGATCCAGTGCTTACTCTGTCCTTTGTATTCAGATCCATGTAATTTATGTTTCTAGTCTTGTAAAGTAATTTCTTAGATTTTGGATAATACTTAGTGGGCTTTTTTCAGAAGTAACACTTCATAATGAAATCTTGAGGGAAGAATTTATGCCAGACAAATTCTGGCAAACTTCTATTTTGATGCAGTTGACCTCCCTTTGATTACAATGTTATACCTAAGGGGGCAATAACCAAAGAAAGAGAAAGTCATACAGCTGATGTTTTACTGTAACCAGAGTATAATCTTGTAGAAACTTAAGACAAAGTTAAACAGAGAAAATCTAATCCTCATTTTTCAAAGCTGGAACACAGATGCAGCTGGGTTCTGTTTATGGTGTTGGGATGAAGACATGGCAAGCTGTGCTAGTTACCATTTCATCTTAAAGGAACAGCAATAGATGAGTAAATGGCCTTTTTGGGGAGAAGGATTTCAGCCGTGCCCTACAAAATCCATGTTTAAAACAGAATGAGTTGAAGAAACACAAAATTTTACAGAAATTTTGTGATGACCTGGTCAAATCTCTCATCACAGATTTCTTCTAAATAAATACTTCCTTCAAAATGTGTTTTAATAAGCATCTTTTTTTTTTTCTATTATATTCTCCTTGTTAGTGAGACTGTATGAATATTTTCAAAGATGTTTCCTAATGTCTTTCCCTTTTCAAGTGCTTTTTTTTCCTTCTCCATAGGGTTATTTCTCTCCATCATCCCCTACAGTCTTCTCAAAGCTCCTCATTTTCCATAGGGTCTCAGATTGTCACGAGACTTCCTACCACATATCACAATACCAAAATCCACACCTTTGAATGGATGCAAAGGAAATGTTTTTTCAGATGCCTTGTATATTGGGGGAAAGAGGAATGGAAGCAGTGACTTTCTTGGTGGCTGGAAGGAATTAGGGGAATGCAGAGGTTTCTGGAAGAGATACCTGCTGCACTGTCATTGCAGAAAAACACCAAATAAAGCAGCTCCAGAACTGTGAGACAGTTTGACCCAAGGAAAGACTCCCAGTAGCTAGATGTTGTCTAATTCGCTGAGTCCTAGGATTTTCCTCCCATGAAGAATCTTGTTTGTCTTTCACTACAAGGTAATGGCTTTCCCAAATAAGTCTTCACGGAATAGGAGTAAGATTTTAACATGAGAGATACTTTTGGCAATGATTTCCATGGGATATTTGAATTGGGCATGAGAATCATGAAGCGTGGACATTATGAGAAATAATAATTGAAGCAAGATTTTAAAGTGACTAATGAAGTCATGGAGAGGAGGCTTTCAGGAGAAGGTTAAGAGTTTTTCTTCAGAAACACAGATAGTTTCTTCAAGTTGTTGTGATCACAAAGTCACTAATTGCTAATTTGAACTGAGGGTCAGTTCAGTCTTTTGAGGTTAGCCCACTTCTTAAAATTTGTATAGTATAAGCAGCATTACAATCTGTATTTGTAATAAAAGTCCTTATGTCATAAAGTGTATTGTCCAAACAAGAAATAATTTATATAATACATTGATAAGTTGTTTGGAAGTTCAGCTATACAAATAAACATGAATCCCCACTGTAGACAGCTGCTCTTCTGGAGCAGTTAAAGCATATTTATGTTTTGTGGAGTTATGCTTTGGTTTTTAATTAGTGTTGCTATTGCCACTGGGAAATTGTTAAATTTCATGTCAGCTCTTTTCATTAAATAAATGCATTGTGAATGCTTAAGCCACCTGTCACCAGAGAGTTCAGCTCTGCAGATCTGCTGTACTATATCTTTGGTCAAATATGAACGTATATTGAGTTAATTTTACAAGTTCTTGCAAAAATCTGTCTAATAAAGGAGCATTACTCAAATGAGTAATGATATTACAAGAAATAAAAACATCTTTTATTATGGTTTTCTGAAGTCATAAATATAATTTTTATATCATAGAATCTTCTTTGTCAAAAGCAACATAAAAAAAAGGCTTTTGTATGCCAAAAGTAACAGCTTTCCGTCTTTGGCTTGTATAAATTGTAATTAAGCATGTATGTATGTAAAATTCTTAGTAAGCAATGCTCATCAATTCATGAGTGAACTGTAAATCTAGCATGCATTGGGAATTTTCTAATGATCACTCAGGTTTGATGAGAGGTTCTTAGCTGCCTTTTACCTACTAGAAGAATAGGTGTCTAAACCCACTATGT